CTTTCTCTATGAACAGCCCACCAAACTCCCCCCCCCTTTTCTTTTTTCACTCTTCTTCGTCCATCTTCCTCATCATCCCCCTTCGTACATCGTCCTTGTCCTCGCTCATCCTCATCTGACCTCCCCTCCTACTTTTCCACCTCGTCGTCCTCCTCCCCCCGGACTTACTACTACCGCTTGTACTCCTCCACCTCCTTTCTCGCTCAGCCTTGCTACTTTCTTGCCTAACCAGTGACTTGGTAATTATGAAATTAGCCCCTTGCTAGTTTGTTTATTAACTTAAAATTCGTTTTCAGCTTTTGAAGCGTGAACAGTTTGCAGTTAGTGGTGCTTGTGCTGTTGGTTGATCAAAGTTTATCTTTTATGATCTACAATCGTGGTAGAGTTAGTAACGTAGTAGAGTACCGATAGTGCTCGTCCAATGCTTCACGCAATCAATCGATCAATCAATCAATCAATCAATCAATCAATCAATCAATCAATGGACCCTTGTGTGAATTGATCAATCAATCAATCAATCAATGGACCCTTGTGTGAATTGATCAATCAATCAATCAATCAATCAATCAATCAATCAATCAATGGTTCACACAAGGATCCATTGATTGATTGATTGATTGATTGATTGATTGATTGATTGATTGATTGATTGATTGATCAATTCAATTGATCCTTGTGTGATTGATTGATTGATTGGTGCTGTTTTTCTTAGCCACGGTTCTCTTAGCTTGCATTTCGAACCCATGGTGGGTGGGGAAATGCCGTCAAATTTTTTATTCGAAGTTCTGCTCTGTCATGGGGTTGGGGAAATGACGTCAATTTTTTGATTGATTGATTGATGGGTTAATTTCAAAAATATTGGTGTTTCGAAGTTTGGCAGCAAAAATGTCGTCCGTTCGAAGTTTCCTTTGCAAAAATAGATGTTTCGTTGCAGCTTTATGGGGTTCCCGTAGTTTGCCAGCAAAAAAGTTTCACAGCGAAGGACCCCTAGGCCCCCGGCCTCAGGGACTCAGGGACTCAGCGTTCCGGCCTCAGGC